GTGGAAGAACCAAGGTCCTGAAAGGTCAAGTATCTTGTGCAAGGACTCAGTCAAAAGCTCCCTCCACTGTACCATTCACTAGATGCAGGTGTAAATTACATCTATAAAAGGCAACAACTTACTTCCTTATCACCAACTGGGTTAATTTTAAAATAAATTCCTGTGAACTTATTCTTATAGTGTTTCAAGTTATTTCCACTTTTCAAAGCACCTTTTAAGTGAATGATTCTGATCTAAGGGCCATATAAATTCAAAACTAACAATGTCGCGTCCAACCGGAAAGGGAAGGACAGATTTCATCTGAGTACCAGGGAGAGTAGCACAAACATCCCACCTCCAGTTGATACCACCTAGTCATGTCTGCTCGCTTTGCCCTTTTATAAAAATGCATTTTTATTGAATGCGTGCTTTATCCTTTTCTCAAATAATGCACCCAGACTTCAACATGAGAGGTTCAGTTGCATTTCCAGCGTAGCGACAGCCCCGTTGTCTATTCTTATCTCCAACTACCATCTATCTTACTTTCTTCACCGTAGCCCGAGATGATGATCCAACATTTACGGAGGCGTCAGGCACCAGGTTGGGGGATGCGTACAAAATCGTTGTGAGGTTACTCTCCAGGAGTCTGTTCTCACAACTCTTCGAATGTTCTAAGCGGCGGTTCTCTCGGTTCTCTCCACCCCTGTCTCCTCCCTCAGCCCTGGGAGGAGATCTCACGTCTAATCCTAGGGGTGGTTAATCCTTCGGTGGACTGGGAGGGTGCACCAGCGGAGTCTGCCCAGATCTAAGGATCAAAGACGCCTGGAGGAAGCCAGATGGGGTCTGGCACCACCCGAGCATCCAAAGGCATAGCCAGCATTTGAAGGGAAGGATGAAAAGTGAAGAAACGAAGTTCAACTCTCCATCTGCGTGGGATCCGCGAATCCCCTCCCTGGCGATGTGGGGTCTTAAACCCAGAACCTACCCGGGCCGCATCTGAGCGCGCAGGGCGGGTCCGCAGCGGCACGTGCACGCGGAGACGGACGGTGACCCCTGAGGCCGCGCGTGCTGGGGCTCGGAACTCGGAGCCTCCTGCCGCCTACTTCCAGAGACCCTTCCGGACCGGGGGACAGGGGAAAGAGAGTGAGCAGAAAAGCCGCAGAGGAGTCCTTCCCTACCCTGCCTCTGGGCTCGGGTCCCTCCCTGCCCATCCCTGCACCCTGCACTCACTCCGCGCTCGCCCGCGCCCGTCCTCACTCCCGCCCCGCAGCACCCCAACCGCAGACCGATTTCCAACAAGCTGGATGTATAGGGCGCAAACCAGGAAAAAAGCAAAACAAAACAAAACAAAACAAAACAAAACAAGAAACACCTTCTTCCACTAGGGTGAAGGGAAAATCTTTGCTGGTCTGGACCCAAGGACCCTCCGTGCCACCGTGGAGTCGCAAGAGGCTTGAGCCCCGGGTTCCCAGATCACTCTCCCTTTTAGGAGTCGCAGCAGCCGGCCCCAAATACGGTCAGGTCTTTAATTCATCACCTGATGACAGATCTGTGAGCGCCCCAAATGAGTGCACACAAGTCTACACACCAGGGTGGCACAAACATTTTATTTTCCGAAGGATGAGTGGTTTGATTTCCCGACTAGCATTTAAGCGTTAAGAATACACTACATGCCATCGTGGAGTGAATAGAAAAATAAATGAAACTGGAGCTTAGAATATGCAGCCTCTTAAGAAAAAAATTCCAAATATTTTTTTTTTCCTTCTGCATTAACTTCCTTTGTTTCTCTAATGAGACAGATCCCAAAACGGTGATTCTCAGAGTGTGGCCCGGGGACCAGCAGTGTCAGCATTGCTTGGGAACTTGCTAGAAATACAAATGATGGAGCCCCACCCCAGATCTCTTGAATCTGGACCTCGGGTAGATGGAGCCCAGCCATTTATTGCCACCAACCGTCCAGGTGATTCTGATACACACCGAAAAACCACTGGCTTAAAAGTTCGATCGGTTGGTGTTTCCCACTGGTCACTATATATATAACCAGCTGATGTCTGACCTTGTTTACCACATCTCTTTAAAAAGAAGTCTCCTATTCGACAAAGGGAAAGCCTGCTAGATGCATGAGTTACTTGTAAAAAGTACTATAAGCAATGAAAGAGAGAGAGAAGAGAGAGATGGGACTTCCCCAGCTACAGTCCATTTTCACTATCTGTCCACCCCTCCTTGAGAGCTCCCAGACACACGCTAATTAGAAACACTTCATTCTCCTTCCAATTTCTACAGCCTGTTTCAGATGTTCTCCTGGTTCTTTCTGAAAGCACCTTCTAAGATAATTGTCAGAACCAAGAGGTCAGAGAGAACACTCCCCACCTTCACGCTTCACCCTTCATATATACTAGCTTGTGGCAAAGCTTCCTTCTCAGGCAGCCTAGCCTACTATTCAAATCAAGACACACCAAGTACCTGGGCTGAGACCCGGTAGGCTGGCTGTGGAGCCCCGCTGGGACAGACTGCAGGAAAACAACAGATAGGGGGAAGAAGGGTGAGGTGGGTGTGGGGGTGCTGATGATCTAATTAAGGGAAGGCCCCAGGGGAAAGAGAGAAGTTTAGACTGTGGTTGCCTGTGTGGAGCGGTGTGGGGCGGTCAGATTTACATGTTCTTTGGGCTAGTGGTGGCCACAGCACAGTAATTCCCACCATGTTGCTGTTCCTTTCAGTGGATAACTGTGCCATCTTCAGTGCACCCAGGTCCCAGAGCTGAGGCACCTATGTGTGGGGTTTCCCAGCAGCCAGACACCTGTGAAACCCTTCTGTTTGCTGGTTCCACACCTGATCTTTGCTCTCTAAATTTTTCTGGATTCAAGATTTCTAGGCAATAGTCACATTTGTAAAGAGCTGCAGACAAATTCGAACACTGGGGAAGGGTAAAGTGTGTGTGTGAAAGGGGGGGGGAGGGAGAGAGAGAGAGAGAGAGAGAGAGAGAGAGAGGGAAACGTTGTGAGGTTAAACATAGCATCCAAGGGAGATGTTTTGATTCTTGCAATAAAAAGAGCATCAACTGGACATTATAAACATACACCATTTTGAGCTTCCTGCCTATCACACTTTCAGGTCGGGCATAGATAGCTCACCACCTGCTACTTAATAAATGTGACGGATATTTGCATGGATCCCTCCCTTTAGAAATCAGTTGCACAGACGTAATCTCATTTGAGCCCACTAACGCTTTGTGAGGCAAAAGAGGAAAAGTGTTATTATTATCATCATCATCATCACCTTTATCCCCATTTGCAGAGATGAGAAAACTGAGGATCTAGTCCCTTTTAGGAAAAAGCTGGACATGGAACTAGGGCTTAACCCACATGTTTCACATTCATAGTCTTCTGTCTCAATTGAAAGCCAGGGTTTCAAATTATAGGTAGGAAACACAAGTACATTTTATTTATTTTTATTTTTTATTAATTTATTTTTGTTACAGATGTTTCTCCTTTTTTCCCCATTGACACCCAAAATCTGTTTGCAGTTTGGGGTCATCAGAGAATGAGCGTGAGTTTTATTCTCACTGGGGCCACCTGCATCGAGTGCTCAATTTTGAGCTTTTGGTTTGTAAAATACATGAGTGGGAGCTTAGAAAATTTGCTGAACCAAAACACAAAAAACTTAACTACACAGGGATTGATCTCTGACTTGAGCTCTGTACTGGTGGAGGTGAGGGCAGTGTCTTCAGGCAGGAGAATTTGGGGAATAGGGACGTGGCCAGATCTTGAAATGCACTCTTGAAGGTCAAGTGTGGGGGTGGGGGAGTGGTAGGGAAGAAGGACACCCTGAGAAGTCCTCTGAGGAGGACCTAGGACAGACAGGTGGATGAGAAATCACCGACGTTCCCAGCCCTTGGAGAATGAATTGCACTTGGTACAGTGGTTACTGATCCCTGGCAGAGAACACCCCCTGGGCACCATGCTTCTCTCTTCTTGACAGTCTCCTTCCCTGATGGCCAAGCTCAGGACTCCACCTCTAACCTGCCCTTGGGGTTAGTAGGAGGTAAATGCGGGAAGGGAAGCCGGGGAGCTCTTACTCCAGGTACAAAACTGAACCGAGAAAAAGAAAAAAAAAAAAATCGAAAAGAAAGAGCAAATGAAGCGGAAGTTTCAAGGCCCTCTGCGAGGAATAACAGTATAAATAACCGAAGACGTCTTGTAAACACTGCGGTCATAACCCCGAACATTAAACAGCCTCGGTGGCATCTGGCTCATCGGCCGCCGAGGGCTGCGCTGGGGCAGCCAGGGAACCCGGTCCCAGGCTCCCCGGCCTTGCCTCTCTGTTTATCTCAACTTAATCTTCCCCAACGAGCTGTTCCGTAGCCTGGAAGATGTTTAAATTAAAACCCGGTCCGCCGGAAGTCGTGGCGGGGAGCTGTGTGCACTGGCTAACCTTACCCGAAGGCTGGCAGGCGCGGGGTTTAAAAAAATTAATTATTAATACGAAATACATAATGTATGTTGTGGCACTTTGAAAATCGGAAAATACCTTCCAAGGGTTATGGAATTTACATGTTCGTAGCTCCCAGTATTTCTTCATGGGTTTGTAAATGTAGGTTCCATGTCCTCCCCTGGAAAGTTATAAAACACGGAGCTGACCTTCCTGCTCAACTCAGCAGTTACACTGTGGATTACTTGAAAATCAGATTTTCCTTTTCAGGTCTATCTCTTGAACTGTGCAACTAATAATAACTTCAATCCTGCCCTTTCTTTGTTTATAGTTACATTATTTCTAATTGTATTCAAAGTGACCTGGAACCTGAGAGATCAGAAGTGGTTTGTTTGTTTTCTCCCTCGAAGTTTCAGTGCAAACTATGATCTGTACCTTGGAAGTGGAAACCATTTTTAATCCTCTTCTGTCTCCAGAGGTTTGGATTGAGGTTCAAAAGAACCATTTTATCCATTTTATTATCAAGTTTCCCCATAGTTCTTCACTTTTCTATTCCAAATACTTTTTTAAAAAATCACACCAAATGGCAAGGCTTTTAGCAATATAAAGAAGGATTTATTTTCGAAAGTAGCAAAACTTGTTTGAAAAAAATATATATCTTCAAGTGAATTACTTTATAAATGTGACTGTCAAAGTCAGCTATTCTATGATCTACACTTTACAACATATTGTACAAAAGATACACATTGATAGGCTCTTATTAGCTATTCATATATTTATAATACATATTGCACTTGGACCAGCAAGGCTCGCAGAGTCATTCACGGTACAAATTAATAAAGTTAAATAGATGGGAATCTTTGTAAGTACACTTGATCTCCTCTGGTTTGGAAACGAATCTCCTCGTCGCGGTAAAGTGTTCTCGCAGGGTGGGACAGGGAGAGGAGCTTTGCAGGGGAAGCAGAGACAGAGAGCGGGGAGGGCAGGGGTCGCCTTCCCCGGGGCCGTTCCCCCAGGGAGCGCGCCTTTCCCAGACTCGCACCTCCGAGGTCAGGACGCCGTGGTTCCACACAAGCGGCTCGCGGTCACCACTTCCTTCAGGTCACTCTCTGGTTTCCCGGCCACCATAAAGGGCCACGTCTGCAGGAGAGAAGAGGGTGGAGGAGGTAAGTGGCCATGGAGGAGGGGTGGGGTGGGCCCCCAGACGGAGAGGAAAGGCGAGGGCGAGATGTGGGCAGGCGGTGCGTCTCACAGACCCTTTATCTCTGAATGTACTCGGGGTCCTAGTGAGCCTCGTGGCTGGATAAAGCAAAAGGAGCATTGCGCCAAGCCACCGAGGCGGGTGGTAAAGCAAAGAGGAGGTCACTCCTTGGGGTTGAAGGAAATCCGAGCGAGGAGGCCCTTCGAAAAGTCCAAAGTGGCTCATGCCATGGCACAGTCGGAGAATGAGCAGGGAACCCCACAAGGACTTCTGGCCAACTAGCTGCCGGGTTTGAGGCGAAGCGCCCTCCTAGCCCCTCTTCTGAGGCCGTGGTCAGGTTTCCGGGACCTCCAGCTTTTATCCCATCCATCTCCCCCCGCGGACTTGCGTTTCCCCACAAATGCGGGCTCTGATCAGTTCCTAAATTAATCGCTACCTCTTAAGGCAAAAAATTAATACTAATGAAAGAATATACACACACATTTTATTTAAGGTCGCCTTCCTACTGGGCGGAGCAAGGATAACCTTCTCTCCCCTTCTTGACGTTTTGTAATAAAGCCCACTTAAGTTTCTTGTTCAAAAATAAAGACAGCAGCAAACTGTTAATGAAGACACTCCTTTCATTTGACTTCCAGATCTTACAAAGCTATTTACTCATCTAATTTGAAAAAGAAACTTTTAATTGGAAGGAAAAACATTTTTCGAGGCAAAATGTGGTTTTGCATCCCCTCCCCCCAATTCCTGAAACTAACTCAGTGAGAAGATAGTTCAAATCTTCAAACCTCTCTCACGAGTGCTGGCAGATAAGATGACTTTTAAGAGGAAAACCTCTCGTTCTTATCATATATAAACAGAGGTGCTAGTAAGTTGTTGTTTTCTTTGGAGCCTGTAAGTTTTAAAATGAACTCAAATGAAAAAGGAATCAAAGATATTTCTTAAACAGTAAAATGCATATGAGAAAAATATTAAGCTCAATGAGTATTACTTTAAAAAATAAAACCTAAAATGGTCTTAAATCTTGGGTGAATGTGGCCATTTTAATATTATTTATTACAGCAGTACTCTTGAGAATGTACTGATTATGGTGATATTTGTTGGGACTTCTGGGATTTAAAAATGTTAATTCACTTATAGACGAAGCACAGAATATTTAAGTAGTTGGGGACTTACATGACAATTGTAGAGGACACGATGTGCCCATATCTAACGGTCCTATACATGCTTGAGAAAGAAACAAGGTTGGGTGGTTTAATTTACAATAATTAGCGGGGGAAATCGAGTCTTACTCTTTAGCTAAAAGAAGAATAAATAAGAGGATTTAATACAATGCCTTCTTGGCGCACAGCATCTTGTCAGTGTTCCCCGTCCCGCACCAGTCCCTCCACTCCAGCCCTCATGGCGCGGGTACAAGGGGATCCTCCTCCTTGCCAGCTCAATACACTTGCAAACTCCTAATTGGGCTGCCACGTCAAACACTCGCATAAATCATCCCTGCTCTGGCGGCTTGTAGGGCAGAGAGCGAGGGCCGTGTGGGGATCTCCTGCAACGGTCCCTAGAGGCGCTGGGCTGAAGGTGGCCGAGGTGCGGAAGTCCCAGCCAGGCGCTCACACACACACACCGCGCACAGGACTGCGGGCACCCCGGCCCCGGGCACCCGCAACCCCCGCGGCGCCGGAGCACTTACCAGGTTGACCGGGTGGATGTAACCGTTCTCGTACTTGTCGTTAGCCAGGATCTGCCTCAAATGGGCGATGTAGCTGGACGCCAGTCGGAGCGTGTCCAGCTTGGAGAGCTTGGTGTCCGGGGGCACCCAGGGCAGGGTGGTCTTGAGCCTGGAGAAGGCCTTGCTTAGCACCCGCATCCGGGCCCGCTCGCGCGCGTTGGCCGCGTTGCGCTGGACCTGCTTCCCCTCCTGGCTGACCCCGCTCAAGGGGCTCTTCTTGGTGGGCGCCTTCCTCCTTTTGCCCAGGCCGCCGCGGCCCTTCTGGGGAGACCCAGTCTCGCAGTTGGAGCTCTCCTCGGTGCTCTCGTTGGAAGTCACAAACTCCTTGTTAGAGTCCATTTTCAGCCCGTCGCAGTCCAGCATCTCCACTTCTTGGAGGTCCTCCACGTCGCTGAGGGAGCCCGTGGACATGTTTGCGGGAGGGGATGAAAGGGAGAGAGGGGAGGGAGAGAGGAGAAAGAGGTCGGGAAACCAATGGGCCCCCCTAGTGTGCAGTGTGGAGCAGCCACCTCGTGTTGGGAGTTGGAGTTGGGGTTCTGGTTGGGTCTCACACCCCTTTCCCCTTCGCAGAAGGAACCGCCTGGGCTTCTTTGGGAAGGAAACCGACGCTGTTTCCCCACCCCCGGAGTCGTGGCCGTAGAGGAGTGTGAGAGAGCGCAGAGGAATTTGGTGGACACTAGGAATTTATCTGGGGGATAGAGAGGCGGATCCTTGCAGCCCAGGGGAGGGGCCTGCCAGGCCCCAGCTACGCTCTTAGACCCCTTTCACAACCGGAGGGAAACTCACTCGCAGGCCCTGATTTCCAACTTGTAATGTAAATCAACTCAACTGCCACTCTTAAATGCTGGTCACCTTCCTCACTTCGGGCGGGCGAGAGTAGCACCTCGGGCGCTCTCAGCTCGCCGTCCCTCGCCGTCTCCCGAGGCCTGCTTTCCTCTTCAGAGGTCACAGCTAGTCCTATGTAGCCAACTTTAGGAAAACGACCAGATCTTTTGTTCTTTCTGGGCCTTTCACCCAGAAATGTCGAAAGCATCCCTCTTGACTCCCCCTCACCCCAAGAAAACACCAATTAAAATCCAGGCAGAGATCAACTACCTCCTGCTAACACCCCATAATCTTCCAACCTTAACTGGGGTAAATTAAGAAAACAAGTGCTTCGTAGAATCTTCAGGGTTATGTCAGAAAACGTACCCAAAAATTCACCTGAACCTTGTCACTTTAAAGATATCAAGGAGCTGCCTGTGTGTACACAGACACACCACCATTGCACACACACGCAGCCACACACATAACGGGAGTGGGAGGAATGAGGTGGAGTGACATGAGTGTGTAGAAAGTATTTTGTTAGGTGGTAACTTTTTCTAAATGGAATTAAAACGTTTCCCTACACATCTTTCTAGAAATGTATATATTGTCTTACGAATCTTGCTCTCAGACATCACCTTGCCTGGGACTTCTTGTTTTCTCCTTCCCAGCGTTGCTACCTGTACCTTTTTACATCCTCTACCCAGGGTTGCTCGTGTGAAACTGACATCCCAAAACACTACACAGCACCATCCCTTTGGGAAAGGTTCTTCCCCATTTCTGACCCGAAGCTGGACCATCTTTCCTAGAGAATAAGAAAATCTGAGGAGTAAGAAAGCAAGGGGAACCAGAAACCAAGGGATGGAATGAAATTGATGAGATGAAACTGGATAGACTGAATGCACGAATCTCTCTTACTAGTTCTTCACCAGGTTTTATTTCCTTGCAGTTAGGCACTGAAGATGAGGGCTGAAGCAAAATGTAAGAGTGGCATCTGAGCTTTTGGCTGGGAGTCTGCACCCCTCTCCTACATTAAGATATCATATCTCTCTAATCCTGGGCTCAGCTGGGAATTCACTAACCTCTAACGTTTTGTTTTGTTAGCAGGGTCTTGTTTGCTTTCCCCCTATGCTGTAAACTAAACAGATTGTCAGCAAAGCAGTCTTTATTAATGAATTAGTGAGACCCCCCCCCCCCCCAACCAGCATAATATCTTTGCTCAGGATTCAAAATTTGTTAATCAGCAGTGTAGAGATTTATGAGCTCTCTTATTTTCTGTTGTTTGTGCAGGTGGAGATTTAAATGACCATATCCACCACCAAGATTTATTGCGAGAGTGATTGATGTTATAAACCAGGAAAAAGACTCTTCCCACAGCAGGGATGACAGAAATATCAAGTTGAAGTTGCCTTTGTCCTCATGCACAAATGACCCAGTACTAGAAACCAGAAAGCATAATAATTTAATCTGAGATCCAAGACAGCATTAAGAGAACACCCAGCAGGCCTGTTAAACTTTTCTTCACTGATTCCCAAACTAATTTTCTTTGATTTGCCCTCCCTTTGCTCGGTCTTGGTAAGACATGAAAGTTAAAGTTATTTTTAGACTAAAAGAACTATGTGAAATGGGCATTGGCCAATACTTTGTGAAGTGTGTGTGTGTGTGTGTACCCATTGAGATCATACAAATTAATCAGAGATAATTAATTTATTTGGGCTCTGGAATGGGGTAATGATTGACAATCAGAATGATGGCCTTAAAGTATACCAGGCTATTAAGCTATGAAAATGTTTCTTGGATTCATTCTCTTTGGGGAAAAGAGAGAAGGTGTGGTTTTCTGCTACACTTGGATTTGTAGGCTGGTCGGGCTCTTTGGAAGATGATAGCAATCATAGGAATACATATCACTGAATAGGTTTCTGCTGTCTATTTTTTTCAAGGTCTGCAACTTAAAAATAGCAATTTCTGGAAGGGAACAAAACTAGCTTCATGCCACATGCTGATTTTTGTGCCTAGCAATTATTATTATTATTTTTTAGATAAGCAAGAATTAAATACACTTATCTTGCAGTGATACATTTGGGCTGAGAAGGGTAAGTTAGTTGATAATGAACTTTGGGGGTGTTTGTAAAAGCTTCCTAAGGGATGGTTGCCAGTTTGGGAGCAAGATGTGAAGAAGGCTGTTATTTAGGTATCTTGATGTGAAGTCTTAGTAAGTAGATTAACATGAATGATACTTTTTTTTCTTTTGACATTTTGTGTCTATTCTTGTTAATAAACACTAAAGGACAGATGGGTGAGGGAAGTGAATTATTGTTGGATTCTACTAAGAAAATCAGTGAAGCTGTAACTAAAGCTGTGCCAAATTCTCCAAAAATATAAACTATATTCTGTGAGAAAAGAAGCACTTTGGAGGAACTGTATCAACTCTTTCAGTAACAAGAAAAATACTTTGAACATTACTGTTTCAAAGCACTAGATAGAAAACTAGTAGTTTTGAAAGCATGAGGTAGGTATTAGAAGTTCTGCCCCCAGAGACATCTGGCCAATTTGTTGCACACTTCTAACAATTTGTTTTTCAAAAAAGGCTATCTCTGAATGATTTCAGTGGAGAGGAAATTTATCTCCAAAAGTTGTAAAATGAAGACTAGGCATGGAATGTATCCTTGAACTTAAATCCTGGTTTATCAACGGATAAATTTTCAGGAAGTTCAAATTTGATTCAGTTGCACTTGGGTGGAATAATTTGCTTTATTTTTTACGAGACGGAAAACATTCCAGGCTTCTTTTGAACTGACTTCATGTGCCACCACATTGTCTTTCCCAGGGAAGAAAAATATGCTTTAAATTCAAAATTTAATTATTTTCTTATACTTTCCATTATTTGCCCAGGAGGTACACAGGCTTGCCCATTGATAAAACCACCAATTCTCTCTCTTGTTAAAATAAATATGTTTTTATTGGTTTTAGTGAGAAAGGATGGAAGAGGAAGAGAGAGAGATAGAAACATCAATGAGAGAGAGAAACATTGAGCTGATGCCTCTTGCACGCCCTTTCCTTGGGATGGAGCCTGACCCGGAATCAAACTGGTGACCTCTTGGTGCATGAGATGATGTTCAACCAACTGAGTCACCTGCCAGGGATCAGTTCTCTTTTTTTTTTTTCTTCCACTTCTAATGAACACTTCCTGATGTGTGATTCTCTTTATATGATGGCAGCCACCACCACTGCAATGTGCTGACCTTGTGTGTGCATTTGCGCCTCTTTCGTCATTTGACTTAATTGTCACTGTACCCTTTGCTGCTGACTGATTGGTTTTCATCTTCTGCTCATAAGCCCCCTGAAATCTGACTCTATTTTATTAAATTTTAACTCGATTATAAAGTGAGCATTTTCTCCCATTACTTGTACCAAATTATAATAGTGCCAGCCTATCATTTTGGCCGCCAACGTGACTACAGCACGAATGAGTGAGATCGGCGGCAGCTAAGGAGGTCAGTAACGGCGATGTGAGGTGCTGCTGTTGTCTTTGCCTGGTATCATTTATGATCAACACTTCATAAATGCATTCAGTTATCAGAAGTCCTCCTGCTGTTCATCATGCCCTAATCCCCTCTTTTCACATGCAATTCAGTGAATTGTAGGCCAGATGCTGCAACACTAAGATTTAAAGCTGGCAAACAACAAAAAAGTCTAAAGAAAAACTCACCATGGTTCTTTAGACCCAAGAGGTAAACTTGAGTCATGCATGCTCCATAACTACAACTTTGAAAGCAGGCAAGTCTGTGCACACGAAGGACAGGGTTTACCTCAAGGAGCCGGTGGGCTGAAAAAACTCAGGCAGAGAGTGAGAGGTAAAAACTTTACAAATCCAGTTTAATGTTCTCCTAAGCCTTCTAATACTGGGATATTTTAATTTTAGGAAAGGAGGAAAAATTGAACAACTCTCCATTCTCTAATTTAATGTAAATCTCACCTCCTGTTGTCACTACTACAGAGAGAGCTGCTATATGAAATGAAAATCTTAATAGAAATGTGTGCCAGAGACTTCTGCCACACTGATGAAGTTTTAGAAAAACTTGCTTGAGAGATGACTTTTCTGTACTTTAATGTAGCTCCTGAGAGCAAAGCCTCGCAAGTTTTCCCAAAGAGAATAAATCTTGTGGATTATGTGGAAGATACCTGTAAAGCACATATATGTTAAATGTGGTTTACTGATGGCTAGAAAACAGATGCAGGCCAACTAGCTGTCAGCTTCCTTCCTATCAGGTTAGGAGATGGGCACTAGATCAGTGACTCTTTCTGGTGATTGTCTCCTTTTTTTAAATTTTATTTTATTACTTATTTTTATTTATTATTATTTAATCCTCACCCAAAGACATTCCTCCATTGTTCTTTAGATAGAGTGGAAGGGAGAGAGAAACATGTATGTGAGAGAGATACATCAATTGGTTGCCTCCCACATGATCCCCACCAGGGCCGGGGATCAAACCTGCAACCCAGGTATATGTCCTTGACCAAGAATCAAACCTGCTACCCTTTGACCTGCAGGCTGATGCTCTAGCTCTTACTGCAGAGCCAAACCAGTCGGAGCGATTACAAAAAATTTTTTTTAAATACACACACACACAC